AATCCGGAGGAATTTTCCCCGGGTAAAAGTGGGCGGAGTCGGGAGGCGGAGCCTAAACGATTTGGAAGTGCTCCTGGAATTTTTAGCTCATTTTTTTCTGAAATCGAACTCCGACCAAAAATTTATTATCGTTTATTTTTAACCAGCCTGTTTGCGGCGCCTCCGGCTTTTCGAACAGCTGGCTGGTGCGCCTTTGGCGCAATTTTTGAAATTGACGGGATAGTGTTCGCGAAGGTTACTGTGGATTACTGTAGAAAACTGAATTTCTTCGTTTTTTTTGCAAACACAATCACGCCCAAATGCAGAACTACAGTAATCTACAGTAATCTTCACGGACACCATCCCGTCAAAATTCAGACAAAAAAAATCGAAAATAGCTGAAAACCCAAAAAAGGTCCAAAAATTTTGCTGAATAGTAGAAAAAATTTTTCTCTCGAAATATCACAAAAAATTCCAAGTTTTCGGAGTTTTCAGTTTTGGCGGGAATTCAAAAAATGATTCCAGAAGTTTCCAGAAAGCATTCTCCCAAATCCTTACATTCGAGAAGAAATTCTTCACCACCATCAGCAGAATCGTGTTCAGTGCCTCGGGAATCTGAAAATCGATTTTTTGAATTCTTCAATTACCCCTAATTGCTATCGCTAGTTACCTCATCGACAACCTGTGTTTCAGTGTTAACCGATGACGAGCCAGCGGCTGCCGGGCCAGATGACATGGCTGAAATTTCGAAAAATTAGGGAAAAAAATCCGGGAAATACAGAAAAATCGGAGATGTAGGTCCCCAAACGAAAAATACCGTAACCTGAAATTTTTAATTTTTCGGATTATATTTTATTGATTCTCGTGCGTTTTCAGACGAAAAATCGCTAAAAATCGAGAAACAAATCTCATAAATTAATAATATAGGTTACAGTATTTTTCGCTGTGAGACCTCCGGAATAAAATACAGGTAGAATTTTTCGCGTAGCAACGCTGGACACATTATTTAAATGCAATTTAAAAATCTATTAAAAAGCATATTATTAAGAAAGTAACAAGCAAAAAAAAAAAAAGAAAAAAAGAACGAGAGAACAATCTAACTGAGACCCTATCAACTAATTCATAGAAAAATAACAAAAAAGAGAACCCGGGAGAGAAAAAAGTCTGGAAATTAATTTTAAAAAAAAAGACGAATTATCGTCTCTCGTTCTCCGACATTTCATTCCCTCCTGAAGTGTCAACGGTGGAGCGTAGTGATCGCAAATCGCTCCGACTGATGGATTTCGGCCTTGGAATCGCTTGAACAACTCCTTCGCCACGTCACCACTTCCTCTATTCAGAACTGTCGTTTTCAGTCGTTCTCCGGTTTGCACCTCGTTGTCTTCCTCATCAAATGTCTCGTGAATGTCCAACGCAAGCATCTGGAAAATTTTTTTTCTTGTTGTTTTGAAGTGGTGG